GGGGCGGGTTGCGTCACTCGGGGGGATTTTGACATCCGCCGACCCCCGGTACATTTCCCGGGGTAGTGCCGCGATACAACAGGGAGTCGGATGTGTTTCGTTGTGTGGGATGTGTGTGGGATGTGTGTGGGGTGGGGGTGGAGAGCGAGGGGATTGCCTAGATCGGAAGGTTGTTTGGGGAAGGAATGAAAACCCTAAACCCCATCGTTCACCACTTGATTGATTGGACACATCAATGCATTGGTCCGTACCTGGCCTGTACGATCCCACGCATTGCCCTACCTGATGGCCGCCTCCGCTGATGGCCCCGATGCCTCCCCCTCCTCCTGTTCTTCAGTCGTTCGGGGTGCTGTCCAGCGACCTGCCCGTGCTGGTGGCGCTGTCCACACGCAGGATGAGGTTCGGAGTACTGCACTCGCGAGAGGCGGAGAGGTGAACGGGAGGGGGAGGGGGGAAACGTGGTTTGGGGGCGTAGGTGAATGGATGGATGGCTTGCCAAGCGTGGGCAACCCCCCATTCCACCTCCCAAACAGTCTCCCCCCAGGAGGGCTTAGTTCACAGTTTACTACGAACCCCATTCCTCCCCGTTCCTCCCCACGCCCGCCGCCCTATCCGCCCCTCCTCTCCCTCCTGGACAGCTCCCGGGGGTCCCCCCGTCTCCGTCCCGAGCTGGTGTCCCGCTTCATCACAGACGTGCTGAGTGCCAAGATCAGGACACAGCCGCTGCAGGTGGGCTGTGTATCAGGGGGTTCGCGGGGTTGCTAAGTGGGTAGGTGGGACCGCTCCGGCTCCTTCCAAACCTCTCTAACCGCCCCTCTAACCGGCTTCCCTGCTCTGCACCCGGCTGCCCCCTGGTCCTGCCGCTACCGCGTGGCCCTGTCCCTCAGGACCTGCCGGAGATCCGCAAGGGTGACACCTCCTCCGACCATGCTGCCGCCAGGGACACAGGGCGGGCGGCTGCACCTGAAGAACCGGCTGCCGGTGCCGGTGCCGTGGAGGAGGAGTTTGACCTTAACGACATCTTGTCTGAGGAGGTGGAGGGCGGTGCGGGGCTCGGGGGGACTAAGGCGGAGAGACTGCAGGAAATTGAGGAGCAGCTCAAGGTACGGAGGCACCCTGGATACCCATTATACCCGGTGTACATCTGTGTTGTGGTGGTGGGTTCGGGGCGATCTGACTGCAGGGAAAGGAAGAGGTTGAGATATGCATGGGGCATGGAAAACGAAGCACAGGCCAGCTGCATTATCATTACCGTGCTTTAGGAAACGGGGTGGGGGATGCTGTTGGGGCGCTGTATGTGATTTGATGTGATATGACATGCTGTGGTGTGATGTGTTTTAATGGACGATCGTATGCCTCCCCCCCCGCCCTCCCCCGCCCCTGCTCTCACCCCCTGGCTGTCCCTCTCAGGCGGAGGAGGAGGCTCGTAGGGCGGCTGAGAAGGCCAAGAAGAGCAGTAGCAAGAAAAAGAAAAAGAAGGGTGGCAAGAAGAGCAACAAGAGCAAGGAGGAACTATGAAGGACGAGATGATAACCTTACCGCATCTGCGGGCCCTGATCTGTTTTGTTCTTGCGGGAAGGAGGGGATGTGTGCGTACCGGGGAATGAGGTATGCACGTGGGCAGGGCGGGGCAGGGAAGGGAAGGGAAGGGAAGGGGGTGGGACTGAATGGATGCATGTTATATGATGTGTGGGACAGGGGGGCATATCTTCACCCATGGCCTCTATCCGGCGAAACCTGCCTTCCCCGGTATTTCGGGGCACCCTCATCTAGTCACCCTGGTCAATGTCTCAGTGGATCGCTTAGGTTCCGCACCCACCACCAGCATCCAACGGAATCTGCCGGATCGACGGCGGGCTCAACTCCAATTTTGGTCGGCTCACAAGTCAACTTTATCCCAGGTCACCACCATCTATGGACTAGGGACACTTTAACCTCCACCATCGAAAGGATTTGGAATGGTGTGCATGCCAATGCTGGCACACAACGTCACACATGTATCTCGTTCCCCAACCGCCTTGTTTTAACTATGACACTCGACAGACGGCTGTACATCTGCAATGTATTATACCATGCTCGTTGGTTTGCCCAGTCAGTTTAGCATGGTAACGATGTCACTATTGATGCACGATGGCGATTTGAACATGGTGAACGTCACCTCGAAGCTCTTAGCTATCGAGACGGCAAGCGGTGGGTCGGGTAAGCCTACCGAGTCGGCAGCTTCTGCCTCTGTCGGCGGTTTGACATTTGGTGCTTCTGGTTCTGATCTTGGCAATCGTGGCGCGACCAGAGCAGCTCGGGTAGTACTCGGAAACAGGTGATTTGCTACTGATTGCCTGTACACGTTGTAAAGGAATGTTGAAGAATCAATGGCGGCACAGCTGGCGCTGACCGCTACTTCAAAATGTGGTTGCCGGCGAAGAGATCGGACACGATAAAGGTGTTACAAATGTTGTAATTAATGTAAGGTTAGTATATTGACAGACTGCAGGACTTGAGGGACAAAACACCCAATGCATAAGAAATGTCAGGCCGCGCTAGGTAGTTGAGTTTTTACATTAATTCAATTAAAGCTTCTTCAACTCTCTCACCAAAGCCCTATACTCCGTGGGATTGCCCAGCAGCTCCTTTCGGTCCCCAGTAGGTGTGCACCTAAAAACTGGAGGCAAAGGGGTAGACCATGGCTTGGCGTCCACCATCTTATGACGCTCTAGCAGCTGCTCAATGTACCTGCATTGCGACAACACCAGCTCACCCGACTTCTCCTTTCTAATCTCCATGCCCCAAAACACGATTCTCCAAGGTCTCATACCTTGAAAGCCTTCACAATTGCTGCTTTAATAGCCCGGACTTTTTCCGGGTCCTAAAGCAATTTTTCTTGCTTAAGCAACTTTGGAATTTTTGGCCAATTGGCTTGTAGTTAGCTTACTCTCGTAGTTTTTCTTCATTGAAATTTTTACGCGGCTGCCCTAGCTTTACTTTTAAACCTTTGTAATTCGATGGGAGTTTTTGGAATTATTATGTGACAATGTAAGATTTACAAGAAAAATTCCGCTACTGATATTCTTCCTTCATTTTTAAGGCACCCACTATATTTAAGTAAGGAGAAGGAGAAATTGGCCCTTGATTAGTAGATGATAGTAAGGGAGTGAATGTAGCAAGCTACATTTACCTTAGGATATCTTTAAGCTATCAAAGCATAATCACAGTAACGGTACGGTCCCGTAGTTACCAACCATACTCGTTAACCTTTACGAACTCGCTTTCTGTTGCGCTATCACAACCTAGCGTACGACAGCAAGACTCCAGGAATGGAGATGGCGCCAGGTGGGCCGCATTTAAGCCACCCTGGTGAAGTGCTTCGGCCAGACACTTTCGTATCACTATACCAGTGTTCAGGGTTCAAGACTTTGCTGTCACCGTTCACGACGTATGTCTTAAAACTCGGATTTCCCGTATCGTTTCTCGCTCCTAACGCTTAGCCGTCCTTCGCGGTCGAGGCCCTCTCCTCCCACGGCCTTGCAACCCAACACTTCCACAGAAAAGCCTAGGGTAAGGGACGGCTGTTACATTTTGGTATCAACGATCATTTGTTTGGTCCTCGCCTCACATTGCACGGCAGCCGTTACTATTCAATTGTCTGAGTCTTGGACTCGACTTTTCCGAAAATGGTTCCTTAGCCTATAGCTAAGACTAAGGCTGTCTCCGTCTCTAAAATTGGAAGTCACCTATAGGCCGGGCCATCGCCTAATAGGTAGGACCGCGGAATATGTGGAGTATAGGTGATTTCGCGTATATGATCGTATACAACACACCTATAGGCGATCTGTTGTATACAGCATGGTCTATAGGCCTGTAGGCTATAGGTTACCATGTGTACGCAAGAAAGCTGTGAGAGCCTATAATCGTTGTATACAGGTATGCCTTTATGTAGGCCGCTCGTATATACAGTGTTCGGGCCAAAGCTGCACTAGCTGCTGCGTGCGAAACACATTTGACCTCCCTTAAAATGCTGCAAACTATGAGGTCTGTGCATATGAAACGTATTGTATTCACCCTTCATGCCGAGGCACATGCATCGATGGAGCCCATGCATTGCCGTCAGGTACCCCTCGTCCCTAAGATCTACTGCTGTAACAACCACGCACACATACTGCTAGTAGTCATAAGAGCTGTAATTCCTGTGACCTCTGGTGTCCTGTTCGCGCCAGTTGCACCGCAAACGCTTCCACATGAACTGTTAAACTGTTTAAAATTTTCGTATTCTTAAGTATCGCTCGTGTGTATGCTTTGAAAATACAGGAGATGGAAAAGGTGCGCTTACAGCGCTAGCCGTCAGAGATTTCTGGCTTACCAGGGTCTCAAGATCTAGGGCCTCTTTCCGAAAGCACTGAAAGGAGTTTTGCAACGTTATGTAATCTTTTCGGGGACTTTCCATGGACCTGCCGGCGAAGTAAGGGAATGATATGCGCACGCCGCCGAATAACTAATTATCAGTAAACAGTTAACCTGCAGGTATCACGTTGAACTTCTTAATGCAATGCTAACATAAACCAAACAGGACAAGCCTACAACATGACTTCCAAAGGGTGGCATGTATGTTAGAAGCGCCCTGCATTCCGCTAAGGTACAGCTTGTTAGCTATTTGGACGGAACAGTCTTTTTTGCGTTCTTTTCCGATTACCTCTTACACTGCTTGTCCTGCGCATCCTTTACATGTACTATGGCTAAGGGATCCCTTCCGGATGATGAAGAATGTGCTTTATGCTGGACCAATTACACATCACGATCAGCATCGATTAAGCGGCTCCAGGAGCTGGTACCAGCTGGTACCGGCCGGTGCTTAGGGCCCGATCCGCCGCCGGGAGGACGACTTCCTGAGGCAAACACGACGGACATCCCGAACGGTGCTTACATCCCGTGTTATGGAAAATTGCTCTTACGTGTGTGGACCGGACGGATGGACATGAGGCAACGTTTTGCATCACTTGTTTCTTGGCCGCAAGCAGCAACGTAGTGAAGGACATGGACGCGCATGCACAGGCCATGGAATGGTATGTCTAAATCATGGATGGCGACGTTCAACTCTCAGAATGGTGATTTCTGCCTTTGGGTTCAATTCTGAACCTGGAATGCTGCTGGCTCTGCCCGTACCGGAAAAGTGCTTTCCGGTACGGCGGTGTCAGGAGGTGGTATGTACGTCGTCTTAGGGGCAACCCTAAGACCAAGGGGATGAACGAATAGAGATATACTTTCTGTTTCTTGGCTGCAGCAAGTGTTGTCCTGGGCGCAACGTTGATGGCCTGATGCCGACGCGACCTCCTTTACGACAATGCTAGGCAAACGCAGCGGATGTTCATGAATTACTTAAGCGTTCATATTACTCGTCACAGCTTCAACGGCACTGTACTGGGCGGATGTAAGACGTGCGTTGGTGGACGCGATGGCCTTACGAAGGGGGAGAAAGACGCTTAGGAGATGCTTGGATTGTTATGTACAAGTCACGGACGGGGACGTTTAACTCTATGAATGCTGAGTTTTAGCTACTAGTCGGGTTTTTTGAACTTCGCTGTTGTTGGTTCCGCCCGTACAGGAAAAGTGTCTTCTGATACGGCGGTCACAGCAGGTAGTATCCACGTCGACTTGTATGCAAAATAGGGGGGTCCTTGTGAAGCAGCTGCCCGCGTTTTCAAAGCACGTATGGTGTTGGATTGTAAGGTGCCCAAGTACGTTTTCGAGGAAGAGAATGTGGCCAGGCTGGAGAGGAAAGTGCAGTGGCATATTGGAATGTGAGATTAGCGTAAGCGAGTTACAGGGTGTTTTATTGCACGGGCGAATTTACGTGCAAATCTTTCACCGTAGCATCAGTCCTGAGTTCACTTCTTGGAACGAACATCAGCATAGGTGCAAGCCCTCTCGCTTGGGGGGATATGCAAACAAACATCCTGATAGGGGTAAACTCGCACGCTACCGAGCATTCAACCGAGCACATGCATGCTTAGTTGAATGGTGAGATGCGACCCCCCCTTCATTTCGTGCTCGGCAAGCCTGCCACCGCGTACCGGATATGTTGGCGATGTTACAGAACGCTGCACCTTGGTTTCTGTGCGCATTACGTACGTTGCTCGACCCCGCCGACCAAAACTACACGTGCCCAACTGAAGACATTCCCGGTGGTTGTGCAGCAGCTCTTGAGGCTGTTGCTGGCTGAAATCCATCCTGAGCTGTTGCAACACGGCTAACGCGGGCACGTCCTATGCACAGCAAATACCGTAGTGACAGGAAATGTTCGTGATTTTAATTTCGTGACGGCATCACGAAATTATGTCACATATAAATTACAAGCTGTTCCAGGCGATGGTCGTCACGAATATATGTGTGCTCCGAAGCCAAATCGTATAATGCCTTCAACACAGTAATTACTCGACAAATTCCACTTTTCTGGCCATATATACATCCATAGTAATTGAACGGACATGGATCCGAGGGCTAAGCGGCCTAAGCAACAAAGCCTCCTTCAATGCGGACTGAGGCGAACGGCCAGGCAGTTGAGGGCCCCCGCGCGCCTTGCCGACTACGCACACTAATCTGGAATCTGGTGTTTGCTGGTGTGCAGAATAACCGTGCATGCATTGG